ACTCAATAATGAAATTCAGCTTCACTAGTAACACAGAATAAGCACATTTATAGTTTCACTTGTTTCTTCTAGTTCTTTTATTTTACATCATCTGAGTGTAGCAACTGTAGATGTTAATGCAGGGCGATACTGGACGTGGTGAGCAGTAAGGCACGTTGCAGCATTGCATCGGCAGTTGGGGTCCACATGTTGGCGGTGGTCCACAAGGAGGGCATATAGGCGGAATACAACCCATGTTTTATGTACTACTAGAAAATTTTCTCCAAATCGTTCCAAACAGGATGATTGTAGGCCAAAAACAGGAGCCATGGCTCGGGTTACATATATTTATAAGCATCGGGAAGCCTACTCGATTATTTATTATTAAAAACCAGGCGGTGGTTGTGCTATCCAGCTGGCTAAAAATAGAAAAACAAGACAACCGTTGAAACACATTAAGTGCCTTCTAGGAGATATTTTCACAGGTTCATAATTTTTTGTAATTCACAGTAGGTACTTGTAGATTTTTTACAATTTGTATACGATTATTTCATAGTAGGTATTTACAAGGCACCTAATAAAAAAAATAATACTAGTCAACACTTATTATAAAAAATTAAATACCAGAAAGTTTATAAATAGAAAATTTCTTCAAGGGTGCCCCCTGGGGCATCGTGCCCAGAAGGCTGGCAACATTCCCCGTTGAATTCCGCTTGTTGTGGATAAAAGAGATTCACTTCCACATTTATATATCGAATGTCTACTATGCACAGCGTGGATTCAATATAGTAAATAACTGCCTCCAACATCATTTGCTAACACTAAATACGGATAAAACTTGTTTTATGCAATTCCATATGCGGAAATCAAAGTCATTTATATCTAACCCTAAACTATATGCTCACCATTGTTTAGAGCCTACTAACAACCCAGACATTGCTATTACTAACAAGATAAAGTATTTAGGTGTTATATTAGATGACATCCTATCCTTTAAACACCATATCGAAGCACTAAGCGCCCGACTCCGTAAGTTATTGTTTGTGTTTAAAAAACTACGCGTTTCTGCTGATTTTAAAATAATCAGGCAAGTTTATTATGCATTATGCCAATCATTAATTACTTACTGCATTACATCATGGGGTGGTATAGCTAAAACTACTTTACTAATCATTGAAAGAGCCCAGCGAGCTGTCCTAAAGGTTTCTACCTACCGCCCTTTCCGTTACCCCACTGACCTTCTGTATAAGTCATGTAAAGTATTAACTGTAAGGCAATTATTTATTAAGTCCACAGTCCTCAAACAGCACGTATTGCTCCCATATATTACTGAAAACACTAATAAAAGACGAAAAGATATTGTCTGCCCCAAAATTATATCATCAAAACATACTTTTATTTCAAGATTTTTTGTGTTTCTTGGACCATTTTTGTACAATAAATTAAACGCCAAATATTCCATTTATAATTTCTGTTGCTTTAAAGTAAAGAAAATTCTCCAAGAAGCTCTTCAAAATATGTCCTATGAGGATACAGAGAATTTATTTATAATCGTAAAATAAATGTTATCATGTTTAAGTGTACATTTTGTTGATTGGCAATTTATTATTTAATTGTTTAATTTTATTTCATAACATTCTCCTAAAAAGTATTTATAATATTAACAGTAGGTATCCATGTTAATAATTAGTAGTGCTTTTTACCTGAAATACAGGAATTTCCTAGTTCAGGTACATGTGTTATTTTTACATTAAGTCGCATAAGTAGTCTTTAGTTTTCTCTGTACATTATGTTACTGAATAAACAATTTTATTATTATTATTATTTTGTCTATGAAGTAAAATTCCTTGCCTGCAGACTTGTTCCTTGAATGTTATAACTTGGGCCTTTTCAAGGCGAGAGGGAATATAAATATTAATAGAAAATAATACATTTAGGTGTGCATGCTCCATCGTCGACCTCATCGTCGCTTTCTATCAGGTGAGATAGAGTTCAAATGCGCACTTACACTTAAAAAAAAGAGAATAAGTAAACTTATTCTTCGGCGGAAATAACTGCCAACCTTGTGGTCACTGGAGACTTCTACGAGGCTATCTGACTGCTCGTTCGCTAGAAGTTTCGCCTGTAGCCCCAAGGCACCCAGGGTTTCAACCACAAAAGGCACGAAGCTGTAGCATTGAGGAATGTTGGCGTATTTGAGCCTTTTGCGGTTCTCGGCCGCTGTGCTCGACAGAACCTGATATTAAATCATATTATTATATTCTATCCGTTCCACATCGGTGCAGGCATTATATGGTAGTATAGCAGTATGCGGCAAATACCGAAATGTAGTAATATATAACAAAACATCGTTTTGCCAGAAATATTCGAGTGAAATTATAAATTTTGTAAGTGGTACAAAAAATACACTACTTGCACGTCAAGGTACCCTGCGTAAAGAGCGGTATTTTAAAAACCCTTGCATCGAAACCAAGTGTCTTTACGATTCGTAATCTCTTTGGGCTAGGGAGTTTGTTCTTGAACCCTTTGCGGCTGCTTAAACTGTGGCATCTGATGTACCTACAGGTCGTCTAGCAGTTTAAAATCGTCTATTATAAAATATAAGCTACCGAAAGGCCTACATCTGTCTTCATAAGCTCGTCTCATTATTGAAGGAACTCGTTTTTCGGACTCGTATTCTGTGGAGGTTTTATTAGATCGACAGGACTAACTATGCCAGCTGCAAGCAAGCTTGGCGCTTTATTGACTTAAGCGAACAGCATCCCACACGTAAACGGCCGGCTACTCTACAGCCTTCCGGGGCCAAGGAACTAAAGTGCAATAACAGAGTTATGAATAAAAAAATACGGATGTCCCATAAACTTAGAGGATGGAAAAAAATAAAGGAAAGGAGCTGCCCTAACTACAGAATGAACGTGCGTATCTAAACAGAAATTTAACGCTACAAATGGCGGATTTCTTTAGTGTTGTACCATAATCTATCCATAAGTCATTATCGACATGCAAATGTAATATGGCTTAAATGTTTTTTTTGTTTCTTCATATAACGTCTGATTTATATATGTCAACATAACATGTCTTTTGGTTTCCATAGTCTAAGCCCATCAGCCCCAGTTGATATCGAGTGGAAATGACAGCACAGCAGGGTGTTTCTATGAAAGTTGGTTCTGACCTTTATGGTAGGGACTAGTGGAACAGCCGCGCATATAACTCTTTATGAGCAGGTTAAAAAAATTCTCAACTCACCATCTTACCACATTCTCAGCTCATTTAACGGCCAGCTATCGACAAAGCGCAGGCCACACCGCGAACGAAGCTAGCTAACTTAGCTTAGCCCACGGAGTTGCACGCAAGCATGCCAGCTAAGCTAAGTTAGTTAACGTAGTTGCATGCAAGGCTAAGCTAACAAAATACGTAGCAGAAGAGTTCCTTGCGAAAGAGTTTATCCAGGGTAGTACTGCCACCAAGCAGTACTGTCTATATTACTGTGTTCCGGTTTTGAAGGGCAAGGGTGCTGGTGAAATTACAGACACATTGGACTTGTCAACTTATCTCGACTCAGGGCGACCGGCGCAGCGGCAGTACCCTTCAGATCTTTGCCATTTAAAAGATTTGAGTGGCACTACAACTGTCATGGACAGGCGTGTAGCTTACCATCAGGCGCACGACGTGTTCGTGCTGTGACTTATTATATGAAAAAAAGGTCGTCACTTATTACGCATATACAAGAAGAGGTAAAGTGACTATGGATACGAGCGGGGGTGAAGAGTGGCAGAGTCGACATTTTATATAGCTAGCGGGACCGTTGGGTTAGTTTAGTTAGCTCGGTTAGCTTATTCACAGTGTGAACCACAGTATGAACCAATAAGCGGCCAAACGAACGAAGCCAATGTCTAATTAGATTTTTGTTGCAGATGCTGCCTCGAAAACATAAAGTTAGAGTTGCAGTAGAAAACAAAGAAATAATTAAATTACTGACTATACCAGATACTTCGGGAACAGAAGACATCCTCGATGACTATGATAGAGCCTGAAGATAGCCAAAGCTCGGCTATGTGCTTATCTGTTGCAAGCACCGGTCCTTCTACGAGTACAAGCTCTTCCATAAATCCAAATCCATCAACCAGTAATTTTATTATTGCTACAAATACGACAGCACATATAGTTAGAATTTTTCAGGAAAACGACAGTAAATATGAATAGTCTTCAAATGAAGAGACATTACATATATGTATAATAATAAGAGAATACGATGTTCGTAAGATTTTTAATTACGAAGAGACGGATTTCTATTCCTAAATGTTTGAGATATTTTTATAGACATTAAAATAAAACCCTTAGTGTCTATAGTACCATTGATTTGTACCATCAATGGTACAAATGATACTACTATGTGTCCTTAGTACCATCAATGGTACTACCGATACTAGCACGTGTCGCTAGTACCATTGCATCGAAATCATAAAAGTGCAAGAAAATTGCATAGACTAAAATATTTTATGAATAATAACCTAAAGATAAAACAATGAGGCGTTGGCAACACAAAGTTCCCAACTTTGAAGTGGGCATGGCAACTATTTGAAAAAACGATTTTGTACATAGGGACATGGGAAAACCTTTTGCCACCCCCATCGAAATTATGGGAGGCTATTTGGGGGGTAACATTGATGATCATTATCCTAAAAGACGTTCTTAGCACCTCTTTTAAATGTCATAAATTAAATTTGCCGCGTATCGATTACTGCCCGCGAAAAGGTTTAATACATGCATACATACCCGGCTATTAAGCATCGACTACGAAAGAAAAAACATCGTCGTTTCGTAAATGGTTACGAACAGTTTCGTACCTAAATGGTTACGAACAGTTAGTCGTGGATGAAAGTGATAGCAGCCAAGCCCACGAAAGCCGGACTCAACAATGCCTGTATTACTAAAATCCGCATGACAAGTTCTCGGAATAGTTTCTTAAGACAGTGTAATATAGTTTTTATTTGAGCTCCAAATAAAAGAAAACCTCCAAAATACAATTTTTATTTTAACACTTTACAATATTTTTACGCCACAAAGAGCTCACTTAACCGGTCAAACTTTCACCTATTGACTGTCACTAATAGTATACTAACATTGTAATCAACAGGGTCACGTTTCGAAGACTAAGCTCTTGAAGACGGCACGTCAACAAAAACAAGTGTCAAATACTTATAGACACCTGCAATTTAGTAGCATTTTAGTAGGTATGGTCTTGAGGACAGCCGTATCACCGCTTTCCGATTTCCATGACGGCATGATCGAAGGCCAGAAGTGGCCGAGGAGGATGTCCCACGGCTAACACGGCATCTATTGAAAAAAAAAATTTTGTTAATTTGAAACATTTAAGCCTGAACTTACTTATCATTGTAAATGGTAACAGCCCTTCGATCTATTTTCCCGATTGGTAATTTCTTTTATATCTATTACACTTCTTTACATTTAGACGGACAATTACCCTTTACCAGGCCGGAGAACCAACTTGACTTGAAATGTATCTTATGTTGCTTTGCACCCCTAACAATCTCTTGTCCGAAACGATAAGAAAATTCAGAATATGCTACTGGAAACCATAAAAAACATATGAGACAGGAACCTCATTGCCTGTCTGGATAATGCACTTTCGGAAATTTCTACAATAAACTTTAAATGTAAAAAAAAGTAAAAGTAACTAGACACGACAATTTACCGGGCTAAGGGTATAATATCCTTCACATAATCAAAATCTGACCAAGTTATGGTAACATATCTTCCTACATCCTAATTTTGGTTATATTAAAAAAAAATAATAACAGTGAATAAAAGATTAACTATCCTAATGACGCGTTTACACTAAGCGCCCAGTTACACGACGCGAAAGATTTCGCGCGGCCTCCGCGCGACTCGAGAGCACGATGAAAGTCGTGTCGAATAAACGCGCCCTTAATAGACAGGCGCCCTTAATCAACAGGTCCCCTTCGCTGGCACACCGAAGGACTCCAAGTCGTTTGACGATCGTATTTCGCGTCCGTATGCGTAATCAGGCGACACGTTTCGAACGGTGTGTTGAGTTTCTTTGCGTAAACTATGATGAGTGACTTCGGCTCAGGCGGCTATCGACTTGGTGTAAACATTGCGTTGATTGCGCCGCCGCCGTCTTCGTCAGGCGAACTTGCTTGCCAAAGAGGCGACAATCGACTCGGTGTAAACAGCGAGACGATTTCTCCTCGTTCGGCAAAACGAAAGAATCTGCCGAAGGCGGCAGTCGACCTTATGTAAACACGCCATTAGAAAACTCCAAATAGTCTAAACCTACAACGAACGTATCAAAACATGCTCCGACTTATCTGCATTTAGTACGCCATAATTTAAAAAGTATTCGGATTTTGTCATAAAACAGTGTAATTACTGTAGAAATGAATACAAATAATTGCCAAAGGTAAATTATATTCATCGTGAACAACTTTCGTAAATGTGCATCGTAGATTACTATTGAAAAGAATGATTTAAAGTTTTATAGAACTTTCGGAATCAAAGCATGGATATAAACGGTGTTTTATTAACCATTCCCTTAGCCTGGTCAAGGATTAAAATTAGACCGATTAAAAATTAGAGTGATGGTAAATATATACAATCAAAAATGGAGAAATCGGGAAAAACAATTGCACGGCTTGGTAAAATAGACGCGTATTGTAAATGTTCGACCGGAAAAGTAGACGGATGGTTCCAAAGGAGTTAACTGCTTCAATTATTGGGAAAGAACCGCTTTATACAGAGTGGTTTAGAAAAATAACTATTAAACCATGAAGTAGACACGTTCAGTCATTATTAAATTTATAAATAAATAAGGGTAGTGAATTGTTCACTTACGTACATATTGTTTTACATATGGTTTTCATAACCGTGTGAACTTGTTTTAATGGGGTACGGTCACAACGCTGAAGCATGCTAACTATATTCCACGGCGTTCATATTCATGTTTTATTAGGGATAACATCAGCATGCTTGCATGTTCTGACCGTAAAAAAACATACCAAACATACTTTTAATATGGACGTAGTGCTGAAGCGTACCGACAAATGGGGCGCAACCCTGAAACTCATTTCTAACCATGATTCTGATCACATGAAGCATGACAATGATAAGAGACAAAACACCCGATTGTTATCCAGGTAAAAATTGTCAATCTCGCTCGATCGAACACGATTGCTTCATTTTTTTGTCCTATGCTATTTGTATTCATGCAAGAGCACAGGCACAGATGTCTTGCCCTAAATACAATGTTGCAAGCATTAAGGTCATTTTCCACCGGCGAGTCGACGATAATTAAAATCTCACCAGCCTATTTCCATCAAAAATTAAAAATAATAGCCCGCCTGCGGTCGCGCAAGCCATCGTGATCTCGCGCAAGCTAGCTACGTAATTGTGGATAGAGAGAGAACATTCAGTGCTGTTCAGTTCATCTAGCGATAAATACGCGGCTGACCCGTAAATTACTATTAGCGCCCACGAGATCATGCGGGCACCAGCGAGCGAGAAATCGTGTTTTCGTTTCGTACGGTTCAATACTACATCAACAAAATATTTCAAATCTCGCCTCGCCCATACCCTCGACCATATCCACCGAAGATGGGCTAGAAGAGAATTGAAATTTTGTCATACAAGTTTTCATTTCAATCCTCGTCTCGTCTCGCCTCGCATCGCCGGTGGAAATACACCTTGACACTGTTTATGTCAATTTTGTATAAGTAATTTATGAAATAACCAAATATATATTAAAACCCCTACATATACAATACCATATTTGTGGTTTTTCAAATCATTGATAGGAATTCGTTTTAGAGTTCGCAGTTGTAAATCCATTGGTAAATAATTTAGACTGTGAACGTGTTAAATACGAAAACGTGAAATGACTTGTATAATCGCGAGCGCAGGTCGCGTCACTGGATATTTGCTACTTGACTGTAAACTGTGACGTAAGAGCCGCCGCCGCAACACGGCGGAGGTGAACAGCAGTGACCGCAACACGGTCCGCAACCGCAAGGTCCACCTCTGTTCAAAACAAAACGTAATTAGATGAGTTCGATTGCTAACAGATTGACTGCATGTTTAAAGGTAATGCGCGAAGTTAACTTCACGCCTTGACGACTTCAGGCATTAACATCTCGGCTGCATGAAGTCGGTGTCGACTGCAATCAATGTAGCGACTGCAGTCTGTTAGCGGCCTTAAGACATCGTACTCTTTCATATTAATTCAGAATAAGTAAAATGCAGACGTTATTGTACTGTGATGACAAGGCCATGCTAAGTACTGACAGTTTAGCATTGTCTTTAAACGGACAGAACTTTTTCCAACTAACGTAAATTCCTTAAATCGCAAAATCAGTGATCGCAGTGTAATACTTACTTAATAGCGGACATTATGTTCTGTAGTTGACTGCAAATTCTCATTCTGTCACACATTTTGCTGTACCTATTTCTGTAAATATAACAACTAAACTTAAAATTACCTAAATATTACATCTATAATCACTAAAAATTTTGAAGTACCAAATGTTTGGGATGAACTTCTAAAAATGACGTAACTTGACACTTCATTTATTTCGTTATGATGTGACAATCTCTAAATTCAAAAATTTATTTGAGCTTTTGGAATCGCAAATTTGAAATAACTAAATCCTTAAAACTAGAATCTTCTTTATTCACTCGCCAATATTCTTTTTTTAAATTGAAATGAAATACAAAACTTTCACATAGTAACTTTTTTTAAAAAGCACCAACCTCAAAAGTTCGTAGCATTACATCTATTTGCTAAGTTTTATTGAAATCGGTTTAACGGAATGTGAATAAAATCTACTAAACCGGGTTCATCCCCTGATTTGCCGCCCTTTGAATACCCTCTTTGCACCCTCTTTCCAACAAAAAATAACTATCAAAATCGGCTCACAAATATGGGAGTAAATCGCGCTACATACACACAAAAAAATAATATAGTCGACATTGACTTACAATTATATGGACGTCGGGTCCGCGCTAAAAAGTGTCCGCACTTGTAAGGCGCTAAAATCGTATACAGAGCGCCAAACTCCGCTTTAGTCTTCATTTGTTCGACTGACAGCGCGATACTACGATGACATTACAATTTAAATTTCGAATAGGTTGACTTGGGACATTTTTTTCGTGGTTTTTGTATTAGACCCGTCGTCCATTTATTTGTAAGTCAATGATAGTCGAATTAAGAACCTCCTCTTTTTCGAAGTTGGCTAAAAATGTGTACACAGTACACGGGTAAAGATATAGCCATTTCATGATTGTGGAGTTACATGTATGTACTCATAACCACACATCCCATGTAGTGCAAGAGATACTCGTGTTTAAAATTCCGCAATTATTTATACTTGTGGATGGATCGTCAAAATGTTGCTCTTAACTTTTGAACTACCATTAAAGTAAACTTAAAAAATATGTACCTACTACATATTTATGCCATTACTTACTTTCTATTCTCAGTCCTTTAAATAATTACGAACCAAATTTTTAGTAGTTAAGATATTTCAATGAAAATGCAACGATATTAATGAAATAAACTTGACAACCTCTATAGTGTAAGTAGTTCGTCTGGGATAAGCGCATGAAAATTACCGCATTAAAGTTTCTTTATTATTTTTGTACTAAGAAACTATGTGTACACGACACGATGTTGGTATTCGATCAATACAAATGTTTAAATGTTTACATAAAACTGATCAAGCGTATGTTTTAGTCTTAACTAACACATTTTATGTAGTAAAAACTAAAAACATTTGTTCAGGTTTTTTATTTTAAATATATTCAACGTAAAACCTTAGCTTTATACATTCTAAATAAATTTACATTCAACTCCTTTCAAGACTGGAGCTGTTAATGTTCGCGTGGTTTACATTATATCTTTTTTACTTGATAGGACTGATTTTAATTCGTTTTATTGTCTGTTTTCATTGAATTTTTTTTTTTTTCATGAGAATATGTGCATAACAAACTTGTTAAAGGATAACGACATTGAGAAAGACAAACAAACATATGTTGATAAAACTATGAGAGTGCGTATAGTTTCACTGCAGAAATATAAAAATAAAGAACTAATTATATTATAACAGATCCTTTGATAACACTTTTATAAGTATAAATTTAAGACGGAGTTCTTAGGTACTCGTATGTATGTTGCACATAACATCAAACAATTTAGTGCGAATTGATTACTCGGTAATCTCTAGCCTAAATAGTACGGTGTAATGTCTTATGTAGTTATGAATATTTCTTCACTAAATACACAGGGTTTTTTGTAAAATACTAACAGCCGCGCAGGCAGATGACTGCTCACACACTATCCTGCGTATGGCCCATGTATGGAGTCTTGCAGGATGCATTGCAAGATTGCAGGCTGCCTTGCACGCTGCAACTACATTTACAATCCTGCATTACGCGGCGGATGGCAAGGCGGACTGCAATGCAGGATAACGAATTAATTAACTTTTAACATCATAACCAACAAATATTATTTGTTCCATGACTTTTAATTCATCAGATTTTACTTTCGTACAAAAATAAAATATTTAAATATATTTCTCTAAACGGTGATAATTTTGTGTGATAGCACAAGATATAACGCGGGGAGGTGTTGCTATACATCTTACTACCAAATGCAGATCTAAATAAAAGAACCAACCTCAAAAGTACGTGGAATTACATCTATTTGCCAAGTTTTATTGTAATCGGTTACTGGAAAGTGCGCAAACCCGAGTTCATCCCCTAGTTCGCCACTATACTGAACTTGACACAGGAGATAATAAAAATCGGTTCTCACTACTCAATATACATACATTGAGAGAAAAGCACCTTGAATAGGAGAATAGCAAAATCAATCATTAAAATAATTAATTGCTCCTTATAATAAAATTTAGGCGCTATTTATAAAAATTAATCTTCATACGTAAACATCGTGAATCATCCACCCTTAGAGGAGGATGATTTTCTTCAAAATTAAATGGAATCTCTATGGAGGTACCCTCTTTTCAACAAAAGAATCATTAAAATCGGTTCTCAAATACCAGAGTTATCGCGTAACATACATACAAAAAAAAACATACAGTCGAATTGAGAACCTCCTCCTTTTTTTAAACTCGGTTAAAAACTTTTTACATCTGTATGTCAGATAATACAACAAAAACTTAAGTTCATTTTTGGTTAATTAATTATGCTACGTAAATAGTTAAAGTTGTTGTTTATGATGTTAGTAATATAATCCTACGAGGTTGTTAGTATTTTACAAATATATTGTTTCTTAATTGCAAAGTTCTTCTCTCACTCTAATATATATAATATAACTCACTTTAATATCTCAGTAAAAATTCCAAGTCTCTGTGAGAGCTATTCTAATAGAGTTAAATTGAATTGATTCTAATATGACGGTGCACACATAGGGTACACCGGTTTCACCTGCAAACAAAAAACCTTCTGTTGAGATTTTTACTATATTAAGATCAATGTCTTTAGGCAGTCTTCTCACTAGAAGAATTCCCGATAAAATTTAGGGGCTTTTAAGGTAAGACGTGGATCTTTCTCCTGGACATGACACCGGAAGACGCACTGTTAATTTTACTGTTTTCGTTTCGATGGCAAGTCAAATGTTGAGTCGCCTGATGTCGTGACTGTTGTGTGTCGGTCTAGTGAGAACCCTAGTGCACAAATAAATAATGAAGCTCAAGTGCGCGTAGTTAGAAAAACTCGAACATAATTATCCTTGGCGCACGTAACCTCTACTACACTTGAAGTCCTCTAAACGATGATAATCCCTCAGTTGCGAGCCCTAAGGTCATTACGCGATTAAATTACCGGATACAAGTTGTTTGGAAGCCGTTACAAGCAAACCTTTCGTAGTAGCAGCATTCTATTACAAAAGTTTTGTTCAGTGGACTATACAACGTGTAAACTTACAACTCTTTCGTAATTGATGAGCTGGTAACGGACTTTCTTGTCTTGGTTGTTGACGATCATGCCGGGCCAACTAGTGGGGCGGTAGTCGAACGTGCTGTCGTGGACGATCAGCGGCCGCCGCAGCGTCACTGGGTCAATGCCACAGGGTAGACAACACGGGCCCTGAGGCGTATATAACGAACTCGATATAGATTAGTCAAGCTTAGAACGAGTACCTAGATATAAGCAGCAAGCACACATTATTTTTGTACGTGAATAAAGGGATGCACACATTCAGCCATTAATACCTTGTTATTAATTAGAACGGCATAACATTGATGAACTAACATTACATTTTACACAAATTGTAATTACATCCAACCATGATCAGGCGATAGGAAAGGACAGAACAAATTAGTTTCTACTAGTAGCAGTAGAGCTCCTTGTGAAAGTGTTCGCCCACTGAAGTACTGCCACCTGACCCCTATTTCTGTCTCCAAGCGGTAATGTGAGCATTACTGAGTTCCGGTTATGAAGGGTAAGGGTTCTGGTGAAATTATAGGCGCATGGGACTTGTCAACTTATGTTGTCAGGGAGTCAGACGTGGTGGCAGTGCCCTTTGAGTTGCACTGCAACTGTTATGGACAGGCGTGTCGCTTATTATCAGGCCCACGACTCGTTGGTCCCGTCACTCTGTATAAAAAAAATAACAATGCAAACAGCAGATATTTTATTTTGTCATTGTTTAAAATTTTCGTTTCGGATATTGGACAATTAAACTCGCTTCAATTGGTTTGAACTTTTTTTTGTCGCTGAAAAATGCGTTACGCATACTGCTCGGCTCGGGGGAGCATCGAGCGGTTATGTGAGGCTCTCGGGCGGTAGTCCCGTATACCCACTAAAACCCAGCCGTTAACTCTATCGCCATAGAGAGACGACCCAGGATCCGCTTGCGTATACTAGTGAGACGTCTCGGCGGATGGCCCGCGTGGAGCGGGCCAAGTCCTTTGGAGGGTGCCCCGGGCACCCTTAGTCTTGGTGGAAAAGGTCCCCCGACCCCAATCTACGGCGAAGGAAGAAGGCGGGCGTACTGCCTCCTTCGTCTCCCTGGCCTACGTCTTCGAAGCGAGTCAGAGAGGGAGTCGTCCTCTCTGCAGCGCTCCGCAGCCACCTTCTGCGAGATTACGCTCTCGCAAAAGAAGACCATAGTCTCCCAGCACCTCTCGCTGCCGAGCGTTGCGCCCACGATTGTTGGCAGCGAGAGATCTCCTCCCTTGTATGGCAGTCAGGGAGTGCCGCTGAGGGCCCCAAGCAGCACATTCCGTCAGGGTGTGCCGCGACGCCGGGCGGCGTCGTGGTGAATGTTCACTGATCCCACGACGCCGACTCAACCGGCGAGAGGGAAACCCGGGGGGGTTTTAGTGGGGTAGGCCCTCCAGTCTGGAAGGAGAGTCCCCACATAACCCCTGAGTCTCCCTGGGCTCAGGGGTATCCATAAAGATTTCCCCCCCGTCAAAAAAAAAAAAAAAGGGTGTGCCGCGACGTGTCGACAGGTACGCCGCATTCGTGGCAGACAGGAGTAGCTTCCAGACCCGCCACGCGATGCAGGTACTCACCAAAGCATCCATGTCCGGTGAACACCTGCACCAATCTAAAGGACAGTGCCCCGTGTCGCCAGCTAATCCAGCGGACTAGGTGGGGCCGGATGGTCTCCACGGTCACTGAGCCAGCGATTGGGGACTCTAAGTCCTCCGCCCATCTTCGGAACAACTCGGGGCGGCCCGCTGCCCTAATCCGCCTAATTTTTTTCAGCATCAGGGCTTGCCCCTCTGCTTCGCATGGTTACACAGTACCGGAGCACTTCCATGAGCACTTCCGCCAGAAGTTCCCACGGAGATCAGCCGCGAGAAGTGTAGCGGCCGTCCACGATACCATGCGATACCCCCGGATCGCTCTCACCACTATAATCCTCTGCGGCCTCCGCAGGAAAGACTTGAGCTGAGCGGTGAGAGCTTCTACTCATAATTGGTTCATGTCTTAACGTAACTTGTTCTAAGTCTTGGCCCCCCTAGTAAATAAAAAATTTTCCTTATTAATTTTATGAATAAGTCGTAAAGAAAATAATTAAGTAAAATCTATCCAAAACAAATATTAAAAACAATTTACAACAAAATTTAAAAATCTAAGTCCACTTTTCAGTGCCCCCTTTCGATCAGCTACCACGCCTTGCGCACTATTTTCTAGCCAAATTATAGTTACAGTCAACAGCACATCAAGCTGCACACTTTTGTTCGAATGCAATTGAACAAGATCCGTCAATGTATAGCATGATGTATTGCTGTCTGAACATATATTTTCAGATTTTTTATACTAACTAGTGAGATAACAATAAAATAATAGATAAGTTACCTGAACAGGAAAGCAGGGCTCGATCGGTCGGAGTTCCTTGTAATCGGGTAAACAACGTATTGGGCTGCACATATTTGTAACTACGTAGCTACTTTGTAACTTAAAAATTTTAATCAAAAAATGTAAAAGACAAATAAATTTTAAATAAATTTAGAAATATTTTTGAAGACAATTTTGAAGGATTTATTCGTTTCCAAAAAAAATTTACAATTATCTTTCAATTTTTTATTCTTTTTATTGCCACGTCTTCAAAAGAGTTGCGCTATAAAAATTAAATTTAAAAATATAAAAATTAAAATAGTACGACCAAGTAAATTGCACGATATACGTCACAATCAACAAAAAATAATCAACTTAATGTGGTCCCACTAGTGCGACCAAATTAGTGGGCCAATGGGGAAACAGGAAATATTCAGCGAATTCGGTGAACGTTATCGTACTAATTTATAGAATAACCAAAATTTATAGAATAACCAAATTCATAGATTTAGTATATACACGGTGTAAATTTGAGACGGGGCAGCAAGGCCTACCCTCCTTAATCGTTGTAGTTACATGAAAACGGTTCTAGAAGAATATCCATATAAAAAATGAAATTTATAAAAAAAAATACAACAATGTTCAAGAATTGAAAGCCGTACTTGCAACAATTTTCAAGAGAATCCATCCGAGTAAAATTTCACCGCTACTTGCTCTTTGCGGAAGAGAACGAATCGATGCATCCGCCAAGGCGGCAATCAATTCGAGCACTTACTATCATACATTTTTCATGTTATTTTGCTATTTGTTCTTGTTTTTATTTTGAAATACATAATACGTTGTCAATTTGTTACTTTCCTTATTGTTTGTTTCCTTAACTACCTAGAATAACGTTGTACCGAAGGGTAACTGCCAATTACTAAATATGTCCCTACAAAATCTATGGTAAAAAGTTTTTGAGTGAGCTAAAAAATTTGTACCTCTATCATAACTCTATCGAAACGAATTTTCGTTTTTTTTCTGACGCCACATCTCTTATCTTAACATTTTGCACTGAACTGTACCTAAGTTGCAATTATGAGAAAAATACTGATATCGGCTAGAAAAGTTACAAAACTGCTAATGAAAGCAAAACACGTACAGAAAGTGTATGCTTTGCGAATAAATGTACAAGAGCCTCCAATTTTGTATAATTTGCTATATAGAATGTACAAAATGTTCTAAAAATATTTAAAATGCGACGGCGAAAGGATATAAAATGCGATTTTTTAAAATAAATTTCCGCCATTTGTGTACGCAAAGGTTCTACCATACAGCCTCTTCATGTCAGTATTTTTCCTTGTTTTGATGGAAAGGTATCAAGCGCCTGTTCTTATATGGTTACGGCGGGTGTACCTTTGATATTGCTATAATTTCGTTCTGATGGAGGTACATTTTTTTTAAACAGAGGTACTTTGGTACATTTTTTGATATGAAATTTGTCACGCCATTATGATTCACGGAGGATTGGGCTAGGGGATCCTGGTGGACGAAACGCACAAAGTAGATTCTGACCACAACCTACATCATGTGTGTGTGGACTGAGAGCCCACATGATTTTTGCCAGTTGTAGTAACTGGAATGTTTAGTACAAGTTGTAAAGCATTTTGTAAATCATGGAATGTAAATCATATATTAAAAAGCTTGAAAGGGTTGTAACCCTAACAAGATGTGACCAGGTTCACGGTGAGAGTCAGAATGGCGGGTGTACCTTAATGGATCCTGACAAATTTGGTATCAAAAAATGTACCTAATTTGTACTATTTAGTACCTCTGTTTAAAAAAATTGTACCTTCATCAGAACGAAATTATAGGAATATCAAAGGTACACCCGCCGTATTGACTGTCAATATGGCGGGTGTACCTCGGATTACCAGTATTTATTTAATACCTATAAAAACTTCTTATTCCAAAAATTAGTATCTTAATAGTACTCTGAAGTAAAGGAAACTCCAGCTCGATCTGTTTGGTTAGTTTCTGAGAAATAAGACAAAATATGTTGAGATTTTAGAGTGCCGTGTGCACTTTATCCTCCATACCATCCTGACATATTAACTTAATTAGTACAAAAAAATGTACCAAAATTGTACTATTTAAAACTTATTCTTAAAAAATTTGTACCTCTTTCATAACGAAGTTATAGCGAAATTCTAATTGTTTTCGTATTTTTTTAAATAAATTTCCACCATTTATTTGGGTAACTAGGCAAAGGTTCCACCATACAGCCTCTTCACATGTCAGTATTTTTCATTGTTTTAATGGAAAAGGTTACAAGCGCCTGTTCTTATATTATTAAAGTTTATTTCATATGAAGGGTTGATGCCATTTAATTGTAGAGGACAGGGAAAGCGTGTATGTTTTTCAATAAGCAGGTCTTTTATTGATTTAGTCGTTTGATTGACATTAATATTACATTTTTAAATATTCTCACTAGAATACGTATTTCAATATGTTATTATATTAATAATAAAGAAAGCTAGCGAGAGGCGGAGACTGATCTTAATCGTTACTTTTTTATTCCCTGCTTTGGTAAAAGGTCAGTTATCTACTGCATTTTTACATTGGAATTAGTTTCAAATCCAACTTCGACTTCCTAGGTCAGTTTTGTCCTACGATGCAGTAAAATTATTTCCGGAAATCCCGAATTCGAAAAAGTAATCAATTAATTTTGGGTGGTTTTAACAACTCTATGTCGATTCTTGTAGCTATATTGTATACAATAGGTGCATATATGTATATATGTGGAACCCCTTTATTTTGACCATTGCATGAAATAAACTATATTAAGGACACGCGCTTGTAACCTTTTCAATCAATACAAGAAAAGATACCTACTGACATATAAAGAGGCCGTACGGTAGAACCTTTGCCTAGATACCCAAATAAATGGCGGAAATTTATAATTAGAATTTTGATTTCGTTATAACTTCGTTATGCTAGAGGTATAATTTTTTTAAGAATAAGTACTTATGTTATTCTAAGAATAAGTACTAATAGTACAATTAGGGTACATTTTATTAATACCAAATACGTCAGGATTCGTTAAGATACACACGGCACTCTGAAATCTTAACATATTTTGTCTTATTTCTCAGAAACTAACCAACAGTTCGAACTGGAGTTTCCTTTACTGCAGAGTACTATTAAAGTACAAAATTTTAAAACAGAAGTTTTTTATAATTATGAACTTAGAAAGGTTATTAAATAAATACTGGTCATCCGAGGTACACCCGCCATATTGACAGGCAATACGGCGGGTGTACCTTTGATATTGCTATAACTTCGTTCCGATGGAGGTACAAATTTCTTGAACAGAGGTACTAAATAATACAAAATTAGGTACATTTTTTGATACCAAATTCGTCAGGATCCGTTAAGGTACACCCGCCATTCTGACTCACTGCGTCCGCGAGTACTAATGGACTATCCATACGTTCTGTGATCCATACACATCAGGGCCGTGCCCGGGATGTAGCGTGCTAGTTTGTACGAACTGTGGGCCCGTCCCGGCGTCGGCCCGGACATGGATACGTGAACGAGTGCCTACAAATACGCAACGATTTTTTTAAGGACGTAGCCCTGACAGAGCACGGCCCGTCGTGTGATCCTCTGTGGCCGGACCACCTATAAGTACTCGGATGCAGTAGTACATAATAATTAGTACCTAAAGTCTACTTTTCTAGACATACAACAAAATAAATAATACCACAATAGTTTACGAAATATTTAAGTACTTTTGTGGTCCGGCCGCAGATCATTACTCTCCCGCCGCGTCACCTTGGATTTAGAAGAACATGATGCACTTTCAAGAAAGCAATATTCCCAAAAAATAGTACCTAACGTCTACTTTCCTAGACATACAACAAAATAAATAGTACATCAATAGTTTACGAAATATTTAACTACTTTTGTGGTCCGGCCGCAGAGCATTACTCTCCCGCCGCGCCACCTTTGATTTAAAAAAACGTGACGCACTTTCAAGAAAGCAATATTCCTAAAAAAAAGTACCTAAAGGTTTCTTACTTTTCATAAAGAAAGTGTAGTTATAATAAATTACATTAGTTTAGAAATTATTAGATGTAGTTTGTGTTTCGGATGGAGAGTATGCTCCGTAGCAAGTCCACTTGGCGATAGTAAATCTTAACCAGGCGTTAATATATTTAAAAATAAGTACCACTACTCTACTTCCCATTGGTATATTTATTTCTCTAATTAAACTGTTGGTTTGTTTAATAAACCTTCAAGTATGTGGCCCAAACAGGGAGTATTTATTTTCAGCAAAAAAATTAATCAAAATTATACAAGTGAGTGCGTGCGTGCGTGCATGCGTGCGTGCGTGCATGCGTGCGTGCGTGTGTGTATGTGTGCGCGCGACACGTAGTTACTGCGACATTGTACGACTCTTCAATGTCGCAGTAACTACGTTTTAACAAATATTTCGTTATTACCTCTCTAGCTTCATATTTTGAAAGGTGTCATATATCTAGCAAATTATTAAAGACATTGTAAAGACGACTACCTCTGGTGCGAACGATGATCTAGATCTGTTATGATCGGAACTAGAAAAGATTCTTCTAGAATTACATGCAAGTACAACTGTTCAATAAAAAAATAAAAAAAAGACGTGATGCAATATGTAAGAAGAGACTGCGACAGCGCCAGATATATGTTTCGTAACGTGTTAAGGCGTTTAAAAATATAAATAAGTTTACGAATTTTGTTACATAAATTTCGTAGATGTCCAGTTCTATCTGGAAGGAAAGTTTACTGTCAAAAATGAAATCAATCAATTACTAGTTATAGCTTATTTTTTCTTGACCGCTTACCTGTTTATTTTTAATATTTAGGCGATATGTTATCTTTTACAGCTAGAAAATTTTATTAAAAAATTAATTTGTTTTTAGAACGGCTTTGTAAGCGTGCTAGTTTGAAGAGTACGCATGGAACTCTGCGTACTACTCAAACGTGTGCAAAATTGAGCTCAGTCAGCTATATTCACTTGCACGTTATGGTCGTGCTATAATTTAAAATATTCTTTGGAGTGCAAAATTAATGATAGTCGTATCCAGTGAGCATAAATATCATTGCTTACATTTTTATAAATATTCACGGTGTTGTTTCATATCATTGTAAACTTTTTTATTTAATTTTTATACATTTTCCATTTTCTGTTAAGTATTGTAATTGATAACAATTTGTTATATGCATATCAAACGCTTTCAAAATTTGTAAAATCCACAACAAAGGCTTTGTGGATAATGTCGGAGAAAAACCAACACGGCTAATATTTTAATTTTGTAAGATATCGTTCTTCATAATCTCTCGACATTTTCGCTGAAACAGAACTTTCCATTGCATTACTTATTATTTACACGTATAGAACTGTATTAAAAAAGTAACCTTTTTCCAATAAATAATAATAATATACACCTGTTTTCTTTATTATATAGGTTATCTCGGTTAGTCACGCTCAATTTTTAGGTTGATTAAATACTGTGCAAAACTGTCAAAATGTATTAAAATTAGTTAACTTACAATATACCGTACAGTATACTTACCATATACGAATATCGCGTACATACATACATACCTACCGTACCTATGTACCGTATATTGAAGATGATTTTAACTGCATAATAAAGAAAGAAGAAATGTTACCTACACATAAATATGGTGGCAATAAAAATAAGAGGAAAACAGTGAAAATTATAACGGTAACTATTTTAAAAAGTACTTTTTGTACAATTTCGATCATTACGACGAAAACGTGACAATTTTGCTGAGCTGGAAGTTTTATTAAACAAACCAACAGTTTAATTAGAGAAAAAATAATTATACCCATGGGAAGTAGAGTAGTGGTACTTATTTTTAAATATATTAACGCCTGGCTAAGATTCACTATCGCCATGTGGACTTGCTACGGAGCGTACTCTCCAGCCGAACCACAAAGTACTTAATAATTTCTAAACTAATGTAATTTATTATAACTACACTTTCTTTATGAAAAGTAACAAACCTTAAGCAATATTGAGTATTGCTTTCTTGAAAGTATCATGTTCTTCTAAATCAAAAGTGGCGCGGCGGGAGTGTAATGCTCTGCGGCCGGACCACTAAAGCAGTTAAATATTTCGTAAACTATTGAGGTAGTATCAATTTTGTTGTATGTATGTCTGAGACAGTAGACTTGTGCATCGTTCTTTATATCCAAGGTGGCGCGGCGGG